GACTTAGACAACAGGAACTACCGCCGGTGACGTACCGTTTCCGTTCGCTCTGATCGTCCGATCGTCCTGGTTCTCCATCGTTCGGCGATCACTCGGCGCGGACGAGGGCGACAATCTTGTCGGGATGGGTCACTGCCACGGACGCGGGGAGCATATCTCGGGGCTCAGCAGCCGGGACTGGTGGTCGTCTCTCGACGATGGCGATGCTGACGACGACGACGACAACGACGACGACGAGGATGATGATGATGATGACGATGACGGCATGCCGCTGGCCAGTGCGGTGTCACTGGCTCATAGCGACTCGAACGAAACCAGGACCCGACAACGCGAACGGAGGGACTCGAGATTGAAGACCGCCGACGATCGGATGGGAGGGAGGGGGAGGGGGAAATATCCACGGGGAAACGAAGAACGGAGAATCACCGGAATCGGCTTGGCTCGACCGTACAGATACACGGCGACTTTCGCTGGCGATTCGCTAAATCGGCTAAATGATGCGTCCACCACTTATACAACACACATATATATATACACGTATATATAATCGGTGAGACTCGCTCCTCTCCCGGCTGCACCTCCTCCTGGCCACCTCTCGCACTCCCGATTCTCCGTCCTTCTCCCTTCGGGGCGCGAACCCGCATCAATTCGCACCCCGTCGTACGCTCGTCTCCCTCGCGGGAGTGCAGAAAGTGCGAGGGAGTGCTGCTAGCTGCTCGGAGCGATGGAGCACCCCGTCAGCGCTCATCGATTAATATCGATCTCTCTCTCTCTTTCTCTTTGTTTTGATTATTCGAATCGATATTCGACTCTCGCTCTACGCGGAATGTCGCGCGAGTTTTGTCGTGCGAACTTTTGCGTTTTCTTGCACAAAGTAATTATAACAACTCAACAACTTACGATTGGATTTCTACTAGGGCTCCAAGATTCGTTCGGATTTGACGCCATCCGGATATCCGTTTATCCGAATTACGAATAAATGTGTGACGCTTCAAATTGGAGTTATCCGAATCTTTTTTAAGATACCCGAATAATAAAAGTATCGGATTTGGATCCGTATTTCGAATTCAAATCTGGATTCGCAACAAATTTAGATTCGAAATCGAATTTAAGTTTGTAGCGGATTTGGATTCGAATTTGGGTCTAAATTTGATAACTAAATATGAGAGTGAAAAAATGTTTTACAGCTAAAAGGGTATAGCTCTTTGAATATAATAAATAAAATAAAATGCATTTTTCAACCAACAAACTTATGTTATTTTAAAATTATAATAAAATAAAATACATTGCGGATGTATTTTATTCGAATTTAGATCCGAATCCTAACTCAAATCCGGGTCCAAACTCAGATCCGGATCCAAATAATTCGGATATCCAGATTACCCGAATAATCGAAATAATCCGGTTTTGAGATTCGAATTTAAAACGATCTCGGATATTCGAATATCTGGATATCCGAATACATATTTAGAAGCCCTAATAATTTCTACACTTATAGATTTAAAGAAGAGATAAAGGTGAAAAATCAATCGTATTAAAAAAATCGCCCAAGCCGCTTCTTTTCGTTGAACTTAAGACAAATTAAATATGTGTGCATTCTTCAAATCCTTTGATGCCTTTTCAAAAAAACTGCGCTTTCTTCGTGCCGTGTACATGTCACGTACTTTGCGACGCTTTGGAACTGTTAATTTCTTTATGGAAAAAAATTAAAATTGTTTTCATAATTATAATTTCGCATATTAATTTTTATAAATATCAATTTTTTATTTTATTCTTTTCGTTTAACGGATTAATTGGTTTCTGTGCATTTTAAGTTAAAAGAAATAATGGTTGCATAGCTGGTATGCCCGAATGTCTGAAAAAAAGGATCTATAAACATATATGTTGTAGTTCTCCATTCGTCTCACAGTCTGGACGAGAAGTGGCGGGATTTATTTAAATATTTTTATAATTTTTCTAATCCCTTAAAAAATAAATTAACAAACCACAAGTTGACCGGATCGGTTTTGATCGAGTTACAATTCTGTCACAATTAAGTTATTTCTCGCTTTATCTTTATTACTGTGTCTTTTTTATTGTATCAAGATAAGATATCTTAAGATAATTTAAGATAATCTTTCTTTGACTCGGTTCGATTCCTTTGCGAATTAGAAAATATCACCTGTTGAATATCGAACGTCGAGAAATATCACCGCCAAGAGCGGGTCTCAAAATCTGATTTTTTCGCTCGAATTTCAAAGATTTTTTTTTATCATTTATTATAGCTATTTATCTAAATTAATATTTAGCTATTTATCTAAATTAATATCTCCACACATCTCTATAAAGTCATAACCATTTCTGACTTTTCTTACAATTTCTTGTATAATTTTTCATAATTTCTGTATAAATTCCAAATTTTTTTAAATTTCTGTATTATTTTTTAGAACTTTTAATAAATTTCTCAGATTTATTTTACATAAATTTAAACACTTTCCAAAAATGCTCTAAGAAGATCTACATATCTTTTCTAGAATTCTTTATAGGTATATGCAAATTCTGAAAATATTCTAACAAAAAATTTCTCATTTAACAATTTTCTAAAGAAAACTCGTGAAGTTTAAAGAGGTTTAAGATATATTTTTAAAAATCTTCATAAATTAAAAAAATGAATAATTCTTAAAAGATACGAAAATTTCTTTTAAGGGGAAGAAAAAAGAATTTCGTGCGCGAAAAAATTTCCCTATATGCAAATCGCGAATGTCTATACAGGATTGCGTTCGCAGAAACGTCACTCGAATACCCTGATCGTGTATCATTTTATTTCCTTGTTCAATATTCGGTGAATAAAAAGGATAAAAAAAAAAACGATAAAAAGGAGAGCACTTGGATGATGTTTCAGAACGCAGCCTTATTGAAATGCGCCCGAAACACGATGCACCCAACAAATCCAACAATGCATGTTTTTTCCAAACGCGAAACAAAGAAGAAAGTCCCGCCGGTCGCGGTTCGAATATCGGCGAGGCCCGCGGAGGCGGGACGTTGCGGAAACGGAGGCTTATAAATAAAGCTTATAGCGATTTGCAGAATGCAGGGCACCCTGTATACGTATGTACACCGTTGACGCCGCATGGCGCGTGGCCGCGATAGAGGTGTAGATTCTCGCAGTCCTCGCGACGACGGGACGGGACGGACGTTAAAATTCCGGTTGAAGGTGCGGCTCTGGGCGTCGCGAACTCCGTCGCGAGAACACGTCCCGCGATCGACGCGCGTCGCGCGTCGCCCGCTCGTCTCCCGAAGGGTCGAGAACGTTGAGGGTCTCGGCAAGAAAAAAAAAAAAAATCATCTCCGCGCATGTAGACGACCGCTGCTAGTCGAGCCTTCCGCCCGGTCGGATGACTCACGACAGTTCGACGGTGACCGTGGCCGCGGGCGGCCGAGGGCGTGCAACGGCGACGCGATCGTCGCACGCGTCGATTCTCCCGAGTCACGATTCGCCTGCCGCCCGCCGCCGCGAGGTTCGGCTTACGTTCTTCCAGAGGCGCTAGAAAAACACAGTCCGCCTGCGCCGCCATCGAGTGTGTTTGGGAGTGAGGTGAGGTAGGTAAGACCAGGTAAGACCCGTTCCCGCCGCGTCTCCCCGGTGTGTGCGTTTTACGCAGTTGCGCGTGGTTGCGCGTGACGTGACCGCCGGAACAGTCGTGTCGTTCGGTTGTTTGCCCGTGTTGTGTCGGTCGCTCCTCCTCCCTCCTCCCCCCCCCCCCGCCAGTGCGCCGACGTCGAGGATGTCGTCGTCCCGCGCGGCGGTTCTGAACGACGGCGATTCGGGGTGTTGATCTGTTTCTTTTCCGAAGGGGGGAACGGCCGGTTCGCGCGACCATAGCGTCATGAGCACGCTGTGGAAACCCTGGTGCGAGACCCTGAACGTGGAACCGACCGATCCGGCGATCATGAAGAGCCTGGACAACAGCCTGGACAGCGATTTCGATAAGCTACCCGAGTTCAGTGCCGGCCTGTTCACCGCGGCGAAGGATCCCCCGATGATGAACTCCTGCGCCAAGTGCCATAATAACAATAACAAGAGTTTCCTGCTGTTCGACGGACGGGAGAGCCTGCAGGTGCCCGACGTCGAGGAGTTTCTGAAACGGTTGAATTGCACCGTGAACGGGGCTAGGGTCAAAGTTGTGTCGATATTCGGGAACACGGGCGACGGCAGGAGCCACACTATGAACCAGGTGTTCTTCAGGGGCGAGGAGGTATTCCAAATGTCCAGCGAGCAGAATTGTTGTACGTTGGGCGTCTGGGTGGCGTTCGATCCGGTTCTCAATGTCGTTTGCCTGGACACAGAAGGTTTACAAGGTATACTTTGTGTTGTTGTTATCAAGTAAAAGATTGCCCATGTCCGGTGGGTTCCACGAGAGGGCTTAACGTGCTGTTTACCCCGCAGGTGTTACGAGTTGTGAAAACGAACGGACGAGATTGTTGCTCAAGGTACTCGCAGTGTCCGACGTTGTGGTTTATGGAATTTACTCCGAGAGGCTAAACAGGGATCTGTTTACGTTTCTGGGCACCGCTTCGCACGCTTACAGTCACCACTTTAGGGCCGCCCTGCAAGCGATAGGGCAGAGGGAGGGGATCACCGCGTCGCTGAGCACCCTCGGACCAAGTATTATAGTGCTGCACGAGACCAGGCACACCGTACCTTTGATCAACAGTACATATTGCCACTCTCTCAGAATGACAGTAATTTCAAACTGAGAACTTCATTACGATTTCGACAGTCGCTTTGCCGTCCGTGGACGCGATTTGTATACATTCTGGCCGATTCCCCTTTACAGATGGCTCGGAGAGCGCGGAGGACATCCTGAGGGCTAGATTCGCGCAGATGGGCCTGAAAATCGACGCCTTCAGCTCGATCAAGTACGTCGGTCTGCAAACGGTGAACGACACGACGGATTACGAGGAGCTGCGGTCTGCGATTGAGAGCGAATTGAACAACACGACGGTTCGCTCGGCCAGAAAGCCGCACCTGGTGTACAACATACTCAAGAGCCTGAACGATCAGCTGTCGAGCGAAGTAGAAAACGTTTCCAATACTCTATTCCCAGAACAGTATTTCACTTGTCCCGTCAGGTGTCTGAGTTGTGACAATGGCTGTGGCAACAGCATGGGACACCTTAGCGAGGGGAAACCGCATAGTAGTAACATCAAGTTGGTATACGCTTTTATATGTCGCTTTAGTCGTACAATTCCTTGGATTTAATAGCGTTTGTTGTGTAACAGGTGCAAATTCCAGTGTCAGTATGAAAATTCGACATACATATGCAAGAAATGTTACAAGAATGGGAACGAGGTCGAGGTGAAGAGGCAGTATTACGAGGATAATCAGAGCAGCTGGTACAGTTTCGCTAAAACCGCCTGGTCAGGATACACGATAGACTGCCCGCACTGCGGGGAGATATACAGGAGCAGACAGTACTGGTATGGCAATAATCCAGAGGACGTTGCCATACGCAGGAAGATCACGCACGTGTGGAATACGGTAAGCGTGCGGGAACAAGGCTCTCGGCATTCAATATTCTTTTCATCTGTGCAATTCTAGAGCTGTTACTTTTTTTTTACTTCGAATACTTAAAGTTTCGAAGGTACCTCCGAAGTTACGAAGTTTAAAATTAATTTCGAAGTTTGAGAATTTTTTTTTTTTTTTAATTTTCTTAATTGGATTGTTTTATTAATCATTATCCTTTCTTATTTAAATATGTATCAAGTTTAATTATTAATTTGTAATATTTCGGGTTGTAATACTTTCAAATTTTTGAGTAATAATTTCGTATAGTTTGAGCATATATATTAATAATTCTTTTTATTTACATTATTTGCAAATTTTCTGAATAAATTTTTCATTTGCACGTATGTATTTTTCGAAACTTCGAAGACACTTTAAACTTTGAAGCCTAAAAGCTTTGAAAGAATTCGAAGATTTTAATGCCGAAGCTTCAAAATTTCGAATCTTCGAAGCTTCAAGATTCGAATGTCGAAGCCTTCGAAGCAAATCACCAGCCCTATGTAGTTTCTATCTCATCGTGAAATGATTTTGTTCTACATTCGTATATTCTCTTTCAGTCGAATCGCTCTATAGCACCTCAGAACACGGCGCAACGGGTCATCGATACCGTTTCGTATTTCACCGAGGCCGTGACAAACGTTTCTCTGCAGCCGACGAAAGCGCTGAAGGCCTGGGCCGCGGATCAAGTGGCGCCGTCTTATTGGCGGCCGAACAACGAGATAAAACACTGCCATCAGTGCAAGGTCCTATTCGGTCCGACGGACGACAAGCACCACTGTCGCGATTGTGGCGAGGGCTTCTGCGCGCCGTGCTCGTCGAGAACGAAATGCGTGCCCAACAGGAATTGGTTTTCGCCCGTTCGGGTTTGCGACACGTGTTACGAGAAAGAGACGAACTGTTCCAGCGACGATTCCCTCGAACCCGTCGAGGGAGACGTCGGCGTGCGTAAAGTAACGGAGCAAGTGGTGTCGACTCTTAATGCCGTCGGAACAGTTTTTACTTATTCCAAATGTGAGTAAAGGAGCATTACGGTTATAATTACTTATATATTATAAATTCGTACAATTCTCGTGAGGAAACGGTCCCTCACCGATTTCGATGGGACATTTTGTAGAGCTTGAAAAAAAATATTGGATACACTTTTTTTTACCTGCTTATCTCAAGGTTTAGAGATTTAAATTACTGAATGGAAGGGGGGAGGGGAGTAAATTAAAAATTTAACATACAAACAGTAATTTGAATATAGATCGCGTAAGTGAATATCACAAGTAAATTTAAGAGTGCCTTCTACGCTCACTGGATTCTAATAATATTTCTATATGAATTAGTGAAGACGTCACCACCTGGAAGTCGGGAAATTTCAGATTCAAATCCTGGCTGCAGTAATATTTTTTGCAGTAATTTCTTTGCAGTGTCTCAAAATGCTTATTCGCATCGGATTATTAAATAATGAAGATCAATTGTACTCTCGCTATTTCAACTTCAACTAATGATTGCAAGTCCAACATTAATTAATTCGGCACGCAGATTTAAATTGTTTTTAAAATCATATAGAAATATTAGGTACCAGAATTGTTGACCGTAGAAGACGCACTCAAATTTATTTAAAAATTTAACAGTTTCGATAAATGTGAATACATACAATTATAAAGAATATAAAAAACCAAAAATTTTTGTAAAATGTTTTTTTCATATTCATTTTGAAGATATACCAACTTTATTTTCATAAAATTATCTCAACCCCTAAACTTTGAAACCCTAAGCAGATAAAAGAAAAATACTTGTTTTTTTTTTTTTATGCTCTGTAACATATCCAAAGTCCATCAAAGTCGGTGAGGGACAGTTTCGACCGTTCCTTTGTCAGATAAACATTCTTTCTGAATACATTCTGTTTGTGCGCAGCGCTCATAAAAGATTCCGTACGACCATCCTATTGGATACCGGATGCGGAGGTGGTCAGCTGCTGCGTCTGCGAACGGGAGTTCTCCGGCGTGCTTTCTTTACACCACTGCAGAGCTTGCGGACGTGGCGTGTGTCAGGAATGTTCGCAACATCGTAAACCTGTACCACACCGAGGATGGGATCGTCCTGTTAGAGTATGCAACGCTTGCGTTTGAAATCGCATGCATTGATATATTTCTCGAAAAGAAAAACAAAAAAAATAGACCGAAGTCCAAAAATATAGAGATCTTGAAGAGTGAAAATATTCACTTGATAACGAAATAAATTTACTTATTTCGTGTAATTGCTTTTGAAGATAAACAGAAGCTGTACTTGACTTAACTGTGAATGTAGAATATCTTTTTGTATACCTAGCCAAATCGCAACTTGACGGTAGCTTTTTGAGCGGACTTTTTAATGTAACTAGCATATTTTAACTTTTTTAAATTCTAAATAAAATTCTCAACTTGATATTTTTTTATTTTCAACTCTTTGTAATGTGATGCAAATTATTTTACACCAGCCGTCCAGAATTTGTAATCGTGGCTTGAAGATGAAATGTGTTGATGTTCATGTCTATCGCCATTCCTACTTGTCACTTTATAATCGTTTTCGTGCATGACGCTCGATCTCTAGTTTCATCCAATTTCATTCTTTTGAAATTGAGCATCCTGAACGCTCTTTGAGAAAACAGTTTGTAAAATGAAGAATAGCAATAGACAAAGGAACTGAACACTAATACACTTCAATTTCAAGCCTGAAATTACAAACCCTGGACAGCACTGTTTTACATCATATGAGAACTTCAATGATGATATATCTGAAAAATACAATTTTGTTATACTTACATGTTTTTAATATTGAATATAAATAATGTATTTTATTTATATATATTTAATAACAAATGAGAACTTTGAAAAAAGACATTTTTACGATTCATAATTCGGGGGACATTAGAATTACTAAGTATATTGAATTGTATCGAAAATCTGAGGTTGTTTAAAAGCTGTATCTTTATTTAATTTCGTTTTTATAATTACAAAATAATTTTGTGATTATATAAATGTAAATAAGTGTATGATTGTGCCATATAATTGTGGTCATTACTATTTGAAAGTAACTAAGATGTATTTATCTATTGCTACCTTTAATGTACAATTTTGTATCTCTAAAAGATATATAGATCAAGATTACGCTTAAAAATTGTTTGATAAGCTGATTAAAGATTTTTGTTAACAATAGAATGTCCCCATATATAATACACGTTAGCGGTTTGTTGTACATATGTACAGTACTCTTGATCTTCTGGTAACAGCGATCGATAGTCGTAGGAAGGAAGATTGTTTACGAAAAGTGTAAATGGCTGTGACAATTGTTAATACCGGCGTAGCGTTTGGAGACGCGTTATTCGTACGGATCACACGATAGCGCGTCTTCAAACGTGGGAATTGTTTACTTTTATTTTGTTCTGTACATTACGATAAGCAGCTTGAAATAAAGTTCGAAACTCAAAGTAAGTCGCTGCCTTATTTTATTTCAAGTTTCCAACCATTGATACAGGAGGTACGATACGTCACCATAGGGTATTTCCCTGGAAAAACCTGGAAAATCCGAAATTTTCAAAAGCTTTTTCTTTTTTTCTCTCTAAAAATATATATTTGAGAGAAATTAGGATATTTTGGTAATATTATTGGGATATGCGCCATTTGATGAAAAATATAATAATTATTTAAATATAAATTATCTGGAACTCTCTAGGGCTCGATTCACAGTGACCTAGTTTGCACCGAGCATTTGATACGCGTAACTAATAGCTTTCTATTAAATTTTCTTAATTTCGATGATGCATGTTAACGTATACATGATATGTGTATTTAATTAATTATCTTAATGCATAGTGTATCAGATCATTCTTTAAATGCATGTAGAAGTTAAAAAAATTTTATAGAAAATGACTAATTAGTACGCGTATCAAGTGCTCGGTGTAAACTAAACCAGTGTCTTTACTAGGTTGAGGCACCGACGAGATGTCAATATAAAGATGTCAATCCTGGGCAAATTTTCGCGACTATCAAAGGAAATAATTGCAGATTGTCGATGTTATCGCACAATTATGCACAATTATTAACATAAATATTTAAATGATATACAACGTGTTTCGTTTTAATTGCCCCAGGCGAATAATTCGAAAATAAGACACGGAATCGAAAGATACTTAAGACAAAGTTGTATGACCTCAAGGAGGACATAAAATGGTACCAGTGGTTCCACCTTGGATGGCGTTCAAGGTCAGGGAAAGGTCACTTTAAATTTTTTAATTCCCCATTTTTCATTGCATATTCTTGTAGCTTACCTTGTGAGCTTTTCAAAACGCTATAATAAAATATTTTTTCATTAAGTACTTTTTGAGTTATAAGACTTATAAAGTTTTAAAGTTTCAGTACCACTGCAGCATTAGCATTATCCCAGGTGTCTGAACAATGGCTGAAACCTTTTGAATGCACTGTTCAAGATCATGATAACACATGTCAAGAGCTTGACAACTCATGTCCAGGTCAAGGCCATTAAAGGTTGTTGCTCTTATTTTTATTTTCGAAAATTATTTTTACTTTTTGAAAAAAGAGTGACAACCTCCAATGAGTATGACCTTGACATGTGTTGTCAAGCTCATGATCCTGAACAAATCTTTAAAAGATTTTAGCCTTTGTTCGGATACCTTGAATAATGCCGCTAGCGATACTGTAACTTTCAAGCGTTATAACTCGAAAAGTGCTTAATGGAAAAATATTTTATTATAGTGTTTTGAGAGGCTCTCGAGGTAAGCTACAAGAATATGCAATGAAAAATGGGGGATCCCATTCAAAAAGTGATCTTTCCCTGACAACGCCAAGATCAAACCATCAATGATATCGTTTTATGCCTCCCTTAAAGTCATACAACTTTTGTTTGAAACATTTTTTCGTATCTATCATAGTTTCCGAGAAATATTAATAGATCCTTTAAAATGGGACAGCCGGTATATTACCGTAAAATTACAATTTTTGTCTATACTTTAACCATCTTTATGGATAATCAAACACAGATGATAACTATAAAAAGGCAGTTGGTAAAATTAACTATTAGCAAGTTGTAAATATTATATGTAGGTATGTACATGTCGAAAAATCAGTCTAATAATTATAATAAATCATAAAATTAATATTATATCAATATATCATTGACTAATTGCTTTATAAATTTTAGCAATTGCTAAACAGCTACGCTAACTTCCGTAAGATTGTCGGTTTTTAATAGCCGATTGTCGATGACTATATATAGCTACTTGAACATTGCAATATTGCTGCAAAATGATCTGTGCCGTATGGATGAGTATTTAAATCTAATTCTACAAACTCGATATATTGTTTCTTCATGTTTAATTTACTAGTCTAGCCCATATAGCCACCAATGCCACCATAATTTCATAAGTATACAGAGTTGCAGAGCTTTTACATATCAAGCATATGTTGTCCTTGACTTGACAACTCTAGACGTCAGTAAGAAATGTGATTTAAGAAATGAAAAGATCTAAATTACAAAAATTTTTGTTCTCAGCAAACTCCGCGTCAGATTAGTACATTAATTATGCATATACTTTAATTTTGGAAAAGAAAATTATTATTCCAAATCTATTAAAGCACTTTACTTTTTTGCCCTGGATCTTTTTACATAGAACAGTCCTAAACCTTTGACAATCATAATTTAAACATATTTTACTAAAATCAATTTTTGAAGCAAGTTAGAGGTACGATCGAAGTCTCAAAAACTATATAAACAAAAGTGGCGTCCGTCGGTTTTTGAGACTTTAGGAGTTTTTTTCTGAAACGGTGAGTCGCTCCAGTAGGTTATATAGAGAACTTTTTTTTTTACTGACTTCAGACTGATGAGACCTTTCATTTGATACCACTTTCGAATCGGATTTCGAAGTACCAGATTTGAGGATAATTGCATTGATCTTTTTAGTGAAATTTTAGCAAATCATTCGACAAAACTTTTTCACCGGGATATTCAAGTAGGTATTTCAAGTCGCGCGCGTGCAAGTCGCGCGGCGGATCGAGGCGAGAAGGTGTCTATCGAATCGCGATATTCGCGACGATGCCCCCACGACGACCCGCAGGAGGGGTCCCCCCCATGCACGTGATGACGTCAGAATATGGCGTCCGATCAGCTGGATGTTGTGTAGAGTGTGCCTGCCTGCGATGCCTGCCGTCTCGCGAAGACTAACGGAGACCACCGTCTGCCCGCCGTGATACGTGAGTTTATCTCGACGCGCTGTCGGCGATCGTGCTCGTCCCGATTCCCATTCTCGAGGGGGCCAGTATCCCGCGGGAGGAGAGCCGCGGCACACGCGAGAGAGTCTCGCGAGAGTCGCGAGTGCGGACGCGGCGCCAGCTAGAGAGAGAGAGAGAGAGGGTGAGAGAGAGAGAGAGAGAAAGAGAGAGCGAGACGCGTAGACGCAGAAGTGTATTGTACGCGCGGATGGTACTCCGGACTCCGGGAGGCGCACGACTCCACGGCGACGACGACCGTCTCGCCGCGCACGTGAGACACGCGCCGTGCGTTCGTAACACGTTCTCGTCCGACGCGGACGAGGCGTGTAATCGCCGCGCGTCGCGCGAGTGTCCGATCCGCGGGTCGTGGAGTTCGCGACGTGGCGCGACTCGGCCTGAAAGTGCGCGGCCTCTGGAGCCTCTCCAGGTCGTCGAGAGAATGAGAAAGTAAAGTACTCAAGACGTAACGTCGAGGAGAGGAATGAGCGAGGTGAAAATCGGGTGAGCGAGAGAGAGAGAGAGAGAATCGGGCCTGCTAACCCGCATCCCGTCCGCGCCCCATTTCTTCGCGAATCCGCGGCGGCGATTCGGTTTATCTTATGTAATTCCCGCGAGTGCATCCGCGCCGCGCCGCTCCGCGAACGCCGTCCGCGCGTCGTGCGTGCGTGCGTGCGTGCGTGCGTGCGTGTGCGGCGAGAGAGCGATGCCGTGGCCATTTTCGCGTTTGCCCCCTCGCGTTTCGTAATCGTTATCAGCTCCATATTTGAATTCAACAAGTAATGCAGGTCGCCACGCGCCCCGCGAGTCGCCGATTTCGGTGTGCGAATCCTCTCCGCCGCGCCCCCCCTCTCCCCGGGACGGAGCGCCGGGAAACTCGCCGCGCGGTTCCCGATCGCGCTCCGTTTCCTCTCCTCGCGCGGCGCGAAGAAACGAAACGGGAGGCTGCAGATGCGAGCGAACTCGCGGTGCGCGGATCGTCGAGGAACGGGCCGGAATCGCGTGCCTCACGTGCTCTCGTCGCGACGCGACGTCGACCGACGTCTGGACTCTGGATGAGATCGCGGAGACCGCGGGGCCGCGATTACGTGCGCGCTGCAGATTCTCGAGTCACGCCGAAGACCCGATTTCTCGCATAATGGGGGCCCGTGATATTTCTCGGGATGGAAGAAGGGGC